CAAAAACAGTAAAATTCATACTTTGCTTTATTCTAAAGTGTCTGATGTAAAATCAGACATCAACACTGCTTAAAAGTAAAAGTAGACATCAACACCGCTTGACACTGAATTCTAGCAAGTAAGTTTTTAGTTCATCGAGCAGAATTTTTATACTTCAACAACAATTAATTTAATCATGCCTATATCTATCTCTTTTATTTGACAACAATTGCAAGTCACCATTTACACTAAACATTTACACTAACAACATATTTCAGCCTAATATTATACATCTGTTATCATTAAACATATTACCAGTGATTATACTCCTGTTACAACTAAATAAATAAGCGTAAAATAATATTAAAAAATTGTGATCTTTTCTAATCAAAAACTTTATTTTAAATTAAGGTTTATTGATACTCATATATTTTTATAAGTTTATATACAGAAGTCGTTTATCAAAAATATATTAACATTATTTTTAATACAAAATTTATTAACATTATTTTTAATTTAACAAAGAATTTAGACTACAATGCACAAAGTTATTTTTACCTTCAGGCACAATCTTATTGTACAAAAATAATCAATGAAGAATCTTGTATAAAAATAAAACAATGTCAATTTAAAGTAATATATTTATGTATGTATATATATTCAAATTTTTTTTTTTTTTTTTTTTAATTTTTTCTTTGAGATAATATTTATATAGATACAGAGAAATATAAAAAATACTGAAATATATGCACATTTATGCATATAAACTTACCTGTCAACAAATTACAGTGAGTTTTCCATGTTAAATACATAAAATATATACCTAATATTTAATAAATTCAATATATAATGAAACAAAATATTAAACTTACTCAAATAAGTAACGGTTTAACTGTGTAAAAATTTTTATTATTATAAACCTTTTTGATTTGAAGTGACTAAAAAGTACTTTAGAAAGTACACTAAAAAAAAAAGTACACTAAAAAAACAAAAAACAAATCTTGCATTGCTAAGTTGCCAAGTTCTTAAGAATCTGAAAACAAATAAGTAAAAAACCAAGAACAAACAATTATTTATTTATTAAAACTACTCTATTTAAACAAATTAAATTAAACAGAGAACAACAATAATTCTCCACGAAAGCTGAAAAACTTTTCAGCTCAAATTTGCTTGAAGACTTTGCTTGTAAAACCACTTAAATATGAAAAACATTTAGAAAAGCCTAGAAAATACTTAAAAATGGTATATGCAACATTGAACTTTAAATGTTGACTGGACTAATTATTAGTAGAAAATTTACAATGATTTGTTTTTCTATACCACATAAATACATCGCATGATAAATTTGAAGATAAAAAATGTAACGAATAAGTAAATACAAAAAAAAACATTGTATATGAATTGAAAATCAATGAACCTGATAGAGATAAACTGTTGCGATACCAGAGTAGTAGTTGTTAAATTTTGTTATTTCATGATAAACAAAATGTATTTATGACGTAACGATGTCTTGAATGACTTTTAGTAAATAAATAAAAGCAGTGAGTTCTAGTAATGAAACTACCTATTAATCATTTTTAACAACAGACACTAACATAAAGATTAGCCAAACGTAACAACATTACGCAAAAAATTATCAAAGATAATGTTATGTATTTTATGTTAGAATAGTTATATTGAAGGCTAGACAACACTTAGACCTAAATCAGTAACACTGCTTGACTGGTTTAGTTGACAAATCTTGCTCTACATGTTTACCAAGTCACACTACTTTGAAATAATGGAAACGACATTATATAAACATATATACTAACTATAAAACACAAAATATTTATTTAATGTTATATAGCATGTAAAAACACCTCATTTAATAATCATATACACATTAGATAAAATACATTTCATACTATTATAAAAACACATTTATATAAACACATTTATTAAACAACTATATAACATATATACATACACATATTTATCAAAAACATTTTAACTTAGAGCATAATATAAACATATATGCAAACTATAAACATATATAACTTGAATTAAAAAATTTAAAAATTTAAAATTTAAAACAAAAAATTAAAAAGATTCATATATATTCATATATAAAGATGTTGTAATGGCTTTCTCAATTATTAAAAGCATGTGAAAGCATGAAACTACCCATAAATAACTTTTAACGCTAGACACCATCTAAGAATTATAGTAATCTATATTTTCAATATTACAGGGTTATTCATTTTTATATGCGCCTTTATTCATTCTTATATGCGCATTTATTCATTTTTTTATATGCGCATTTATTCATTCTTATATGCGCATTTATTCATTTTTATATGCGCCTTTATTCATTCTTATATGTGCATTTATTTATTTTTATATCCGCATTTATTCATTCTTATATGCGCATTTATTCATTTTTATATGCGCCTTTATTCATTCTTATAAGTGTTTTACAAAAGCAATTGGAAAAAAGCAATTTGAACAAAAAAAAAATCATTTAAGCAATTTGTTTTAAAAAACAGTTTATTTTTTCAAAACAAATTTTTTTTATTTCCAGGTAAACGAGGTTAAAAATACTTAAAACAAAGACTTTTTACATTCGACGATGGTTTATTTAATTTAGTATTAGTTCTTTGTTTTCGATGATAGTTTATTTAATTTAGTATTAGTTCTTTGTAATTTTATCATTAAATTTGATTAAGTTATTATTTAACTTATTATTCATTTATCTAGATGTAAATTTAATTATTTAAAATTATTATTAATATCAATACTTAATAGCTATAACACTTAATAGCTATACCATGTAATATAATACTTAATAGCTATACCGTGAGAGGCTAGTGTTTGCCTAATAGAAAGACTCCAGTGGAATTTACAATTGTCCATAACAAGCACCGGCGCTTCAACCTTTGCATTCCTAATCAAATCTAATACAAACGTTTAAAAAGTAAATACAGCTTAATCTCCTTATTAGAATTTAACCTTTTTTAAATATAAAAGTTGACACGTCAATCAGCTTGCCTCGTTTCTTTTCAAAAGTAGTTTTGAAACTGTTTGCGCGAGAGTATTTTACAGAATACAGAACCGTTACTAATATCGAACAATAGTAACTAACGGCATTCAACATTAATAACTGGACTATTCATATTTAGATGATGTGTTTTTGCTTACTTGAACAATGAATTTGGACAAACTGGAGTTACAGGGTTATTTATTCTTATATGTGCGTCTATTCATTTTTATATGCGCCTTTATTCATTCTTATATGCGCATTTATTCATTTTTATATGCGCATTTATTCATTCTTATATGCGCATTTATTCATTTTTATATGCGCCTTTATTCATTCTTATATGCGCATTTATTCATTTTTATATGCGCCTTCATTCATTCTTATATGCGTTTTACAAAAGCAATTGAACAAAAAAATATCATTTAAGCAATTTGTTTTGAAAAAGCAGTTTATTTTTTCAAAACAAATTTTGCTTTTTTTCAGGTAAACGAGGTTAAAAATACTTAAAACAAAGACTTTTTACATTCATTTAAATTAGTATTAGTTCTTTGTTTTCGATGATAGTTTATTTAATTTATTATTAGTTCTTTGTAATTTTATTATTATATTTCTTGATTGATTAAGTTATTATTTATCTAATTATTCATTTATCTAGATTTAAATTTAATTATTTATAATTATTATTAATATCAAATTATACACCCCTATGGATGGAATAGAAAATAGCAGTACCAATCGTAAAACAAGGAAAAATGTTACAAAAGAGCACATTGAAATGCTTAAGCATTTAATTGAAAGAAATCAATCTACAACAAGCATTTCCACTTCTCTTAATTTATCGAAGCGCGCAGTTCAAAATTTTGTCGTTAAGTTAAACAGAGGATAATTTGACGACATGACTGGATTCAAGTCGTTTTCTGATAAAAAACAAGGTAAATGACCTATAAACTCTCAAATAAAAAATATTATCGAATTATGCGTACAAGAAAACAATCTTTGCACGCAAGAAGCAATAAAAAAATATCATTCTGCAGCAGGCTTCAACATGTCTCAGCCTACTATTTCAAGAAAACTCAAACGCTCGGATTTATCAAAAAAACGTGTTGTGCATGTGCCTGAAGAACAAAACTCAACACAAGTTATTAATGCACATTATGCATTTGCAAGCGAAATAAACAGAATTTTAGATGAAAAACTTATTTATTTGGATGAAACTGGATTTAATGTGCACACTAACAGCACATATGGTTCTTTGCTAAGAGGTACGCCAGCAATTTTACAGTCACTTGCAAATCGTGGTAAGAATGTTGTTTAATTTGTGCTGTTTCAACAACCGGAGTGCTTGCTTATAAAATAAAAACTGGAGGTTAGAATGCAGATTTATTTTGTACTTTCATAACTACAATGATGGCACCAGCGATTAGGAATGCAAAGGTTGAAGCGCCAGTGCTTGTTATGGACAATTGTAAATTCCACTGGAGTCTTTCTATTAGGCAAACACTAGCCTCTTATGGTATAGCTATTAAGTATTATATTACATGGTATAGCTATTAAGTATTACAGCTATTAAGTATTGATATTAACAATATTTATAAATAATTAAATTTAAATATAGATAAATGAATAATTAGATAAATAATAACTTAATCAATCAATAAATTTAATAATAAAATTACAAAGAACTAATACTAAATTAAATAAACCATCGTCGAATGTAAAAAGTCTTCGTTTTAAGTATTTTTAACCTCGTTTACCTGGAAATAAGAAAATTTTGTTTTGAAAAAATAAACTGTTTTTTCAAAACAAATTGCTTAAATGACTTTTTTTTGTTCAAATTGCTTTATTACAACTGCTTTTGTAAAACGCATATAAGAATGAATGAAGGCGCATATAAAAATGAATAAATGCGCATATAAAAATGAATAAACGCGCATATAAGAATGAATAAAGGCGCATATAAAAATGAATAAATGCGCATATAAAAATGAATAAAGGCGCATATAAAAATGAATAGACGCGCATATAAAAATGAATAACCCTGTAACAAAACATTTGCTGATGAACATGTACAAATTTTCTTTGGTATACTTGGAACAAAACTGACTGAAGACTCTTGTCCTGAATTTGAGCTATACAGTTTGCAACCTGTTGAAATTTATCATGGTGCATCTTATTTACATTTAAACCTTCTTTAGATATCCCAAATTACTTTGCAGCATTAATTATGGTAACCTTTGAAACCCATTTGTCCCACATTGCTCCTAAAATTGTCACAAAACCTCGATTTATTGTTTGGAATGTTGTAAAAAGTTCATTTCTTTTTTTGTAGGACTTTGATCTAATAGTCACCCCAGTTGTATCAGGAGGACTTATAAACAAGTTAATTTTCTTTTCATGGAGGAAATATAAAACATTGTAGTCAAATCTTAAACTGTGTCTATCTGCTAGCATTACAAGAGGTTGCTGTATGTTCTCTTCTGACAAATATATATCAAACTTTTTATATAAGTCCAATAATAAATGGTTATCCTTGCTTTATTTTTCAGTAGATGACAATTAATTTTTTTATAATTTGAACAGCTGTTTTTGGGGCTATGTGACTAGTTATACCTTTACCAGCAAAGATAACTTGTGAAACAACAATTTCACCTGAAATGTTAAAATGAATATAAATAAAAATTAAAATGTAATAACAATATTGCTTTTGGTTAAACTTATATCTGTTCACCATGGTGATAAAAACATTAACACTAATATGGTTAACTAACACTTCCACAGTGATAAAAACAAGTGAATTATTTTTTTTAATAAATGCAAATTCATGCATAGGTATTATTATTTTAAAAACGAATAATTTTATTTATTATTACCTGCCAATAAAACAACTGAACATATTGTTATTGATTCACAAAACTTCCTAACCATTTTTTTGCGAAATTCTCCACGTGCAACATATGAAGACCGGATTTCATTCCATTCTCATAATTTATAAATTGGGGTGTTTCGTCAAAATTAAAAATTCTTCTTACTTCAATATCACCCTTCCACACACCAGGTTCAAGTTTTATGGAGTTTGTGAAAATATCACATTTAATAAGTTCTTAAGCCAATGAATCTAAAAGATAGATTCAAGATGTTTATGCTATTACAATGCAGCTTAGGGCTAATCTAAACCATTTATCTATTTATTGTTATATTGAGCATAAATTATATTAATTATAGAACATAAATAAAGCAAATAAGTTAGAGAAAAAAACATAAATTATTCCATTAATAACGGGACAATATTATTCTCTTACCTAAATGTGACTCTGCCATTCCTCTTGTACAGTTGAATGCCATGTTAAATGGTGCATTTCCTTGTCTTTTTAGAACTAAGTTGTGATGTTCTGCTTCCCATCTCTGCCAAAATGACTGACCAAGCCTATATTAAATTTTAAAAGTTATGTTGAAAATATGGTTGTATAGGAATTATACAGTTATATAGTAAAAGTGTTGTTATAAACAAATTACTAGTGTACAACATTTTATAAATAATTTTTTTTTTCATTATAATTTACTTTATAACAAAATAATAACACTCTACTTACTTTCCTGTCTTTACAACATGTTTTGCATAATTAGATAGATTGACAAACCACCTTGACTTTTGGTGTTGCAAGTCTCTAATTTTTAAAACATCAATAATTAAATTAGTGACTTGCTTTCTTGATACTCCTTGATAACACCTGTTGTTTTTTTTAAATAAATTCTACAATAGAGTGTTCTTCTTCAGGTGTCAAAACTCGTAGATGCTGCTTTTTGATATTAGCAGTTTTTGCATATAATCTCCAATCAATGGTGCCTCGACCTTTGATAAAAGAAAACATACCAGTTTGCAAAGCAGCATAACCTCTTTGTTGTGCTCTTTGCACCAAGACACAGCTTGTTTGATCTGAAGTTCTTTTTTATTTATTTTTTTTCTGTGGACTTTTGTCTCTGCCTTTGAATTTGGTTTTCCAACGACAAAGGGTACTTTTCCCACTTTTATAGTAAATTTTAATTTCACCATTGCAAGTTTACTTATAACACTTTTATCTATAAAATATATATGGCATGAAAAAAATTGTGTGCATAAAAATACATTAATAATATCTATGCTAAATAAAAGTATATTATCTGAGTGCTTTTTATGTAAAAGTAAAAAAAAAAATTATTTAATAAAGGTCTCCCTAAATACATCATATTAGAACTCACCATAGAAGTTGTAGTTTATAAGGGTTATTATAAACTACAAAACTTTTACAAAATTTTGAGTGAACCTGATAAACGACTCTAAAATTATTAGCCAAAAATCTCTTTGCGGTTTTTAAGGAGTAACAACAAAAAAAAGCGATTTTTCTTTGAATTACAAAACTTTACTTTAAACCATAAATCGAAAAAAAAGGCCAGTGAAGAAAATCATATTAATATGTTTTTAAGTACAGAAAGTTTCACTTTAGAAGTTTCCTATATTCAGTTATAGGGTTCAATTTTTTTTTGTAGTTTTTAAGGCGTACCTATTGGTAAAAGTATTTAAACTTTTTTTTGTCAACTGGGTTGTTAAAAATTAAATAAAGATAAAAATAATAGAAATTTTTATATATTTAAAAGTTTTTTACTTTTAAATATATAAAAAATTAAAGCTGTTTTATTTATTTTCTATAAAAAGACAACTAGCGGACGTCACATGATTGCCCATAGTACAAATTTGGACCCAAGTCTTAACCGAATTTGGATATGAAGCATCAACCAATCCAACTTCCTGAACTCATGGTAAAAATTTATATATATATATATATATATATATATATATATATATATATATATATATATATATATATATATATATATATATATATATATATATATAATTTGAATATAATTTACTTTGATTTACTTAGCTCAGTATTTAACAAGCTTTTTTTTTACAATAGAATTAATGTGAAACCTATCAATAAAAGTCAATAGATATCAATAAATGTCAATATCATCAAGTTTTTATATTACTGTAAATAAAATTGAAACTGTGTTATATTTTTTTATTGTTAATTTGTTTTTAAATTGTAAGAAGAATATTTGTGTTTAAAAAATAATAATAATAAAATTGCTGAATATTATAAACTTAAGCATTTTTCTTTTCCATGTACGTTTAAAAAAATGCTTAAGTATGGTTTACTCAAATTCATTGAGAATGTTCTTTTAAAGAAACATAGGAGGCAAAACTTTTGTTAGAAAATACAATCACACAACCAATAATTTTGTTTGAAAAGTTACCGTAAACTAGGGTGACTTAGGTCATTTTTGAATCTTAATGCCTTGTGTATGAAAAATACAAAATTTATTTCCTTAAACATCAAGCACTATAAAAATTTATCGATGAATATAACTTTAGTCAAGAATAATAAAAAAAATTTTTTATCAACTTGTTGCTCTCAAATTTGGGGCAGTTGTGGTATAAATTTTAGGGCTTATTTGTTCCTAGACTCTAACAACCATAATTTTTTGCAAAAATAGCTGGATCAGCCCCTGCATATATATGTATATATATATATATATAAAATTTATATATATATATATATATATATATATATATATATATATATATATATATATATATATATATATATATATAATAAAATTTATATATATATATATATATATATATATATATATATATATATATATATATATATATACATATATATATATATATATATATATATATATATATATATATATATATATATATATATATATATATATATATATATATATATATATATATATATATATATACAGTGGTTTTCATAAATTTAGACGCACTCATATTTGAGAATAGAAATTTTTAGTTTTTTATTGATAAAACAATGACGAAAAAAGATTTCGGTTTAGTTTTTTTTCTATTTATACAGGAATACAAAATTTAAAAAAAGTTTACAAAAAAAAAAATGAAACACTAAGTAATAATTAGGTACAACTACATGGTATTAAAAAAATTAGACAAAAAAAATTATTCATAAATTTAGACGCATGATACATTAGAAGGCGTAATTTATGAACCAATCAATATTTTGTGTATCCGCCTTTTACTTTAATACAACTAAGAACTCTTCTAGGCATAGACTCAACAAGATTTTTGCACATCGCTTCTGGGACCCATACCAGGTCTCCTTAAGGAATTCCTTACCAGGTCTCCTTAAGGAATTCCTTCAGCTGACCAAGTGTGGAAATTTGAACCTTTCCTAATTCACGATCAATCTAAGCCCAAATGTTTTCAATCGAGTTCAAATCAGGTGAATATGGAGGCCACGGTATTGTCATAATATTATTATCGTTGAACCACTCCTTTGTATAGTATGCAGTATGTGCAGTAGCGCTATCTTGAAGTTTCCATGGTTTATCATTGAGCATAAGCAAGTCAATTGATGGAATTAGGTTGTTTTCCAGTACTTCTACGTATATTCTGGAGTTGATTCTTCCGGTGTATGTTTGGCACATACCAACACCTTTGTAGTTGAAGCATGACCAGATTCCTATCAAGCCTTCTCCACTTTGTACAGTTGGTCTAATGTACCTGGCGTTATACTTTTCGTGAGCCATTCTTTTGACTGTTATGTTAGATTTGCGATTGATAAGCTCAAAGTTACTCTCATCACTCTACATAATGTTTTCCCATTGATCTATTGTCCAATACCTTCTTTCACGACACCATTTTAGTCTCCTTTGTTTATTATATGGATGCAGAAGCGGTTTCTTCAAAGCAGTGTAGACTCCAGTCTTGTATTTGATAAGTATTCGGTGAACTGTGCTTTGAGAAATAGATGTATTTCGCGTTGTATTGAATTCTGTGGTCAATTCTTTGTAACTAATTCTTGGATTAGCTCTGACAGCTCTAAAAAGAACACTATCGTCCTTTCTCATGGTTGACAAGGGTCTACCTGGCCTCGTTTTCTCGCTGGCACCACCAGTGTGAAGAAAGTTTCGTTGTCCGAATGCATTTCTCAGAAACTCCAATTAACTTGGCGATTTCTCTATTACTTTTGGTTCCTTCTTTGATGTGCGCAATAATTTGCCATCTTTCACCTTGAGTGATACGTCTTTTGCCCATTTTTTACGTTTTTTTAGTGCAAAACTAACTTAACTTTTGTTTATTTATTAAATAATGATTAACTAATTCCAGGTAAGTCATATTTATATAAGGTTTTTTTGACAAAATCAATTAATTTAGGCCTATTAATGAGAAATATGAGAAAAAACTACTAATTAACTATCAATTAACAAGATATAAGACTTTTTTAATTGTGCGTCTAAATTTATGAACAAAATAAAATCAAGTTTATCAATTAACTTTTTTGTGTTAATCGGTATAGAATGAGTAATAAACATCCTGTAAAAAAAATTAAGGTACTCTATAATAGAGTTTCATTTCCTCTTTTAAATTATATATCAAACATAGCGGTAGCACTTTTATTTTATTTTTATTTTGAGTATTTTCTTACATATATGAAGAAAAAAAAAATGAATGCGTCTAAATTTATGAAAGCTACTGCATATATATATATATATATATATATATATATATATATATATATATATATATATATATATATATATATATATATATATATATATATATATATATATATATATATATATATATATATATATATATATATATATATATATAATATATATATATATAAAGAAAGAGAAAAATAATTTTAACAAAATGATTATATTTATATAAATTAAAAGCAAATAAGAAATTAAGAGTATTAAAAATAAATTAAAAGATTATTAATTCTAAAAGAATAAATAAAAAACAAAATCAAAATATAAAATTAAAAAAGAAAAGAATTTTGCAATAATACAAAAATGGCAAAACTAATAAAAAAAAAAAAATACAATATAATAACATATTTTAAATTTTATAAATTTTGTGTATTGTTTATATTTATTGCTATTTTTGTTATTTCATAATCTTTGTCTATTTTTGATTCAGAACTATAACTACTTCTGTATATTACCATATAAAAGTAATTATAGTCTGTATTATAGTTTATAGTTTATAGTATATAATTATAATCTGTATTGTTAGATAAATAAATAAAAGCATAAAACTAAAGAATAATTTAAACAATGAAAAAAAATAAATTAGCTTTAAATAAGTATGTGTACGAAGAAATTAGTTACTCTTTATTGAAAACTTTGGCAAAAACTGGTTGATTGGTTCATGTGGTTTAAAATCATCTATTAATTTAACTAGACACTCTTTATTTCTTTTTTTTCTCTTTCCACTACTTAAATAACTCTGCACAATACCACGTTCTTTACAATAAGAAGCAAGAACTTCTTTTTTTCTTCCAAGTTTTTCACTATAACTTAACATATTCCAATTATCTTGAGATATTGTTTTAGCATCATTAGGTTTGGACCTAATAAGTGGAATATTGGCTTTTAAGATCTTATAATATTCTCCAAACTCACTTTTTACATCATCAAGATGATATAAATATATAAAGTAATTTGGATTTTTTCGGTTGTATTCTGATATTATATAATAAACATCTTCAGTAAATCCAGCGGCAGAGAAAATACAGCGATAGTAGTTTACTCGAGAAAGAGTATGCACTGAATTTTCCCAATACTCCTTTGATGCTTTAGGTACATTTATTGCAGAAAACATGTTTTCCGGATTGAGAAACTCAAGAGCTTTTTTAAAAGTATTAAGAGAAAGAGGTTCTTTGTGACAACTAGATTTTATTGCCACAACTCCTGGTCTCTTAGGTTTATCAGTGTGGTACCAAACGTCAGGTCCAGCAGCAGATGAGGGAAGCAATATAAAATTTTTGAATCTAAAAGCAATCTTTAATAAAAACTCTGCCTCTGACACTTCCTTAGAATTATCATAAAACAACTCATTGGTTGTTCCAGAAATATAAGCATTTGTTGGATATGGTATCTGTGATTCCAATACAACGCAAGCAAGAGCTCTTTCAGTCAAATAACCCTTTGATGATTCGCCATGAAATGTAAGAGTATTATTAAA